GATCTCTATCTAACAAATATGAACACAGTATCATTTTGATCTTATCTACAACTATTTACCCCACAGTATCATGATCTCTAATTACAAATTTAACCACAGTATCATGTTCCTCCACTCTACAAATCATTAACACAGTAATCATGATCTCTTATCTCAAATATTACACAAGTATCATGATCTCATCTACAAATATACACGAGATCATGATCTCTATCTACAAATATTACACAGTATCATGTTCTCTATCTAACAAATATTACACAGGTATCATGCTCTCTATCTACAATATTACACGAGGTAATCATGATCTCTATCTACAAATATACACAGTTATCATGATCTCTAATCTACAAATATTACACATGTATCAGTGATCTCTATCTACAAATATTTACACCAGTATCATGGTTCGTCTATCTTACAAGATATTTACACAGTATCATGAATCTATAGCTACAAAATATTACACAGTATCATGATCTCTATCTACAACATATTACGACGAGGTATCGATGATCTCTTATCTTATAAAATATTAGCACAGTATCATGATCTCTAATGCTACAAATATTACACAGTTTCATGATCTCTATCTACAAATATTACACAGCTATCTGAATCTCTATCTACCCAAATATTACACAGTATTCATGTTCATATATCTACAAATTTACACAGTATATGGATCTCTAATCTACAACGATGATTACACAGTATCATTTCTCTATCTTACAAAGTATTACAGTATCATGAATCTCTATTACAAAATATCTACACAGTACTCATGTTCTCTATCTACAAATATTACACAGTATCATGATCTCTTATCTACAAAATTTACGCAGTAATCATGTTCTATAATCGGGACAAAATAGTACACAGTATCATGCTTCTCTAATCTACAAAATATTACACCAGGTATCATGATCTCTATACTACAAAATAATTGACACAGTATCATTTCTATATCTACAAATATTACCACAGTATTCATGTCTCTATCTACAAATCATTACCACGAGGATTCATGATCGCTATCTACAAATATTACCACAGTAATCATGGCTTTTCTATGATCTACAGATATTACACAGTATCTGATCTCTATCTAACAAATATTACACAGTACTCATGCATCTCTATCTACAATATTACACAGTATCATGTTCTATATCTACAAATATTACACAGTATTCATGTTACTCTATCTACAAATATTACACGAGTATCGGACTCCTATGCTACAAATATATACACAGTATATGTTCTATATCTACAAATATTACACAGTAGTCATGATCTCTATCTACAAAATTACACAGGTATCATCGATCTCTATCTACCAAATATTACACAGTATATGATCTCTATCTACAAAATATTACACATATGATGATCTCTATCTACAAATATTTTACACAGTGATATGAATCTCTATCTACAAATATTACACAGTATCTGCATCTCCATCTACAAATATTAACGAGATCATGCTTCTTATCTACAAATATACACAGTAGATGATCGTCTTATCTACAAATATTACACAGTATCAATGATCGTCATCTACAATATTACACAGTATCATGTTCTATATCTACAAATATTAACAGTATCATGTTCTATATGCATTAAAATACTTACACAGTATCATGATCTCTATCTATCAAATATTACACAGCTATCATGATTCTATATCTACAAATATTACACAGTATCATGTTCTCTATCTACAAATATTACACAGTATTATGTTGAAATTGCTAATAATGTTGTCCCGCTATTTTACCTACTTTATATGTAATGTAATAATGGATTCAGAATGTATTAAGTAGAGAGAGAGAGACACGTGCACGTAAACACAAACACACACACACATGCATGCATAAATAAATAAATAAATAAATAAATAAATAAATAAATAAATATATAGGTAGATAGATGTATATATCAGGAAATGAGGGTGCTATGTGGGTGGGTTGGGGTTTGAGGGTGCTATGTGGGTGGGTGGGGGTTTGAGGGTGCTATGTGGGTGAGTGGGGGTTTGAGGGTGCTATGTAGAAGGAGGGGTGGAGGTGAATGGGGCAAGGTGATTATTAGTATCGATTCAGAGAGGAAGCGCAGGAAGCAGGTCCTCAGTTATTCAGAGAGCATGCAAGGTGTGTGTGATTAGTACGTCAATATACGGGCTAATGTATTCTCCCGCTCTCCCCCTCTCTATCTCTCTCTCTCTCTCTCTCTCGCTCTCTCTCTCTCTCTCTCTCTCTCTCTCTCTCTCTCTCTCT